GTACTAGCAAAGAGCTCACGCAGTCGAACTCTCTCGTGAACACCCAGAGAACTCTCCAGAATATTCTTCAGAAATGGAATGACTCACCAGTTAGTCATCTACAGTGATGCTTGTGAACTCACCAATCAGCCTGACTCTCATCAGTAAGCTCAAGTTAGTCCGCATCAGCACCTTCTTACAAAAAGCGCGCAGACTACTCCTGGTGCAGAGACCAGCACAGGAAAACTTACAATTTTCCTGTGATATTCTACTCAACAGTTATATCCGAATAAATATCCGAAAAAATACAGTCTACATAATTCCGATTACCGTCCACCTGTAATCTTTGTCCATCTTTTTCCACCAGTTAATTGAAGTCAGAACAAATATGTTCTTAGATTTTCAGAGGCTTGTATTTTCGGAAAATTCTGAAAATTGACGCGAACGAGATAAACTTCACACGAAGTCATTCAATAACTAATTATAACTGAAAGGTATTTATTAATCAAGAACCAGAATTTAATTTAAACTCAACCAAAATTAACTTTTATCTAACATAAAACTAGGGAGGATTTATTCATGAATTAATAGCTTAAGCAACAATAAAACAATTCAATTAATGCGAAATAAGCAAATTAATGAAATAAATAATCAATTTCGTTATTTTGGTTGGTAAAATAATTATAACGAAAGGTACAAATCGCTTGAATTAATTAAAAGAATGCTAGACGCAAAAATATTTACTCAAGGATACTAATTTTATCAATAATAATCATTAAGTACTCAAGAACGTTCTCGAATGCATTACATTTAGTACCGCAAAAAAATTCCTCAGCAAGGAAGAAGGACAGGAGGTCCTAGACGCAATAATTGGTACCAGATTACTCGCACGCACTCGGGAAATATAGAGAAAAGGAAAGAGATAGAAGATAATGTGTAGATATTTCAGCTTACGGAAGCTCCTCTTTTTCGAGATAACCGAGTTCCCTGGTCCAGTGGGGCTTGAAGACTCGTGGAGACATATGCTTGAGTAATAATGGACGTCTATTTTGATGTTTAATCTTTTTAGACCATTTTTTGACTTTGTTCTGACTGCTATTTGAGCCAGTCAAGGTTAAAATAAAAAGTGATGTCTGACATGATGTTTCTACATCATTTTTTAATTTATTCTAACTTTGACTGGCTTAAATGTCAAAAAATTTTAAACATAAAAAAGAAGGTTCAGTTGGCCTCAAATCATCTTAGCTATTCCTTCGAAGAAGTGATGTCGACAAGTAAACTTAAACTCCCACTTTTTGTTCCAAGCAATTGAATCTTACGATGTTCACACATAACTTATTTTTCTCTAGTTTTTAATACTTGCTGCGATTGTCATTTTTTTGGGTGACAATATTTTCATTCAGATAACTCAACAATTCAAGTGTTGATTGTTGTTTTCTTGTGGTTTAAGACTAGCTTTTTGTCGCCAGCGACTTTGCTGTTTTGGTCAATTGCAATCTTTTATAACTTCGTAAATATTCAGCGTACGAATTTTTTGCAAAGGGATTTTCCGCGCCATTTCTCCTTCTTAATATGCCTATGTACTCAGTTTCCGACCCAACTGTAACATCCTGTATATATTTTTTTACTTTATACATTATTTAAAATAATTAAACAGGATTATTTCGAAGTAATTGTGACTCATACACGACAATCACAGCCATGGAAGGAATGACCGATAATATTCCTACGCCATCTTCCGTCTACACTAAAAATGTGATACAACCTTGAAAATACATCAAATAACTTATTTATTGATCATTTTTAATAATATTTTTATTTTCTAAATACTAATTATATTATTAAAACAGCAATCAAGTTTTCAGTAACTAAAACTAATTCTGACCACAAATGATCCTGTAAAATAATATTATATATGTATAATTAATTGAAAATTAAATTTTAATCAATTAAAACTGCAATTTGTTTTATTTTTTATGTGAATATCCGCGTTGGAAAAAGAATCTTCACCTATCACCTCACTTGTTGTTCTACTCTCTTCAATTGTCTAATTGTTTTAGTAATGAAATAATTTCATTCACTAAAAATACGATATTTCTTTTGATTCATCAATTTTTACTTTGAAAAATGTTAATGTAAATTAATACTATTTATATTTATATAATGGAAAATAGATTGAAAGTGCTTGATCTATATATCAAAAAGTTAAAATAAATTAACAATTGAACATTAGTTAAAAGAATTTTGCTATTTCTTTTATTTTTTATAAATTAACATTCTGAAAATAAAAAAAAAAATAAATTGTAAATAATTAATGCAAAAATTATGTTTATTAATAATTTTTAAATTAAAAAAACTGTTAGAAAACTAAACAAATAACGACTTTCACTGAAATTCTCAGTGTACCAATCCAGATTTATGTATACAAATGTCTTTTTTATGTTTACATTCTATGAGACAAGAAATATCAACTTGAAAACAAAAAAATACTAATCTATTACCCTGCACAAGTTCGCTGTCCTACTCTATTTCACACTGTTGGTATCGAAGTGGTCTGATAACTTCGTTGCCAATTAACTAATCGATAAAATTACTACTAATTTTATTATCGAATTAGCAGCTATTACAAAAATTGAGAGTTACATAACTTAAAGCTGGGCTATAGACAGCTTTTCCCGTAGAAAATTCCGAGCAAATTTTTCTCTACAAATGACGGCGTCAAAAATGGATGAATTCAGTTAATTTAGGACTCAATCGAAAGCTGATTTTATTCTTTATATCCGAAAACAACAATACAATTAAATTAATTACTTTATTATTATTGAAAATAAAGATGAAGATATGCACTCATTTTGCACTAGATTTTAGACGTGTCATGGTGGATATGCTGCCATCGGTCGTCAACAAAAAAAGTATTTATTTCACAATATCCGCTGTACCTTTACTGAAAATCGTTGTTTTTCGATGTACTTACTATCGTTCGAAATGTTTAAAAAAACATTTTATAATAAAAAAAATGAATAAATAAAACACAGTTTCGCGAGAAAAATTCCAGGTGATCATTCACAGAATCATATTTTTTTCAAAAAAAAACTAAGAAAGATTTAAAAGAATTTTTTTTCTTGCTAACATTGCATGTAATTGCAATTTTCGAATACCAAAATTTAATTTTTAATATAAATTTTTTCAGTTACGGCTAGTTTACAATAATGACCTAATCGTATTGGTTTAAAATTGTTTTCTAAAGTTTTATAATAAACAACAAAAAACAGTTGAAACACTCCGTGGCGAGTTCCGGCGCTTCGTTGGCAACCCAAGCCTGCAGCTCATGACTTATAAACATGTAAGTATCAAATGAACACATGCTAGCTCTGTGGTCAGAGCAGGCGATTTTTATGTCGTTTTTGGAAAAATTCAGAAGATAATTACAAACTAATATAGACAGGTAATTATAATAATTATATGTAATTTTAACGAATGATGGCCGTGGCTAGGATTGAACCCTCATCGGCAAAATAAAAGTCTGGCGCTCTGACCACAGAGCTAGCATACATTCATTTTAGAGTTCTATATTTATTAATTATAAGCTCTCGGCTTGGGTACGGAGAGTAGGAATAAGGCTTGCCAGCGAAGCGCCGCAACCCGCCGCGGATCGTTTTAACTGTTTTTTGTTGTTAATAATTTGAAATTTAAAAAAAAATCCTACAACTAATATGGCTGTATAGAAGTAAGTCTTTGTACACTATTTAAATTTCTTATTACTCTTTCGTCATTGATTGGAAGAGTAATAAAACTAAAAACAAAGTGAATATTATTTATTATTTATTTAATATGTACAAATTGCAATAATATGCAATTTGGACAAAGAAGAGGAAGAAAAAAAACTGGTTAGAAAAATAATTATGGGAAAAATAACAATTAATATTTAAAATTAATTTTGGCACCTTAAAATTGCAATTTTATACAATTTTAACAAAAAAACAATCTTGCTGTAATTGGGTTTGAACCGAAATTCTATTTATAGATAGACCTTCATACGTTTGTAGCTAACAATACTCAAGGAATTTTTTTTTTTGCATTTTTTCTGCAATAAAAAGTTCCTTGGGTATTGTTAGCGATAAGAAAATGTAGATTTATTTATGGATTAATTTTTCTCCTCACTCGACTTCACTTCTTAATACTGATGTCGGATTATTTATATTATTTTAAGAAGTCGTAGAAATCTAAATGAGAATCACAATTATCTGCAGTGCTACTGATTGGATTGTTCGGAGCGGTAATGATGATTTGATGGAGTTGTCATATGAACAATTAAAAAACACACGTCTGTGTTCAGAACATTTCGATGAAAGCGCTTTTTTGGAGGTAAGCCGAACGGTCAAGGACGACGATTAATTTGGAATGCTCTACTGAAAACGACTCCACTTAATTTGGTATGTACGGATAATTTTAATCGATCTGAAAGCACGAATAATTTTGAAATTCCGCGAAGCATTTCGATGCCGTTCGAAAATATTTCAGTAGATAAGGAGTCCGAATCAATAGGTATAGAGTCGTCAAATAGCGTGTTGATTCTCTTTTTCAAGTTTATTTTTAAGTTTCAAACCTTATCATTAAGTAATCCTAATTGCATAGCAACCGCGAATTTTGTAAAACATGTGAATGATATGTTTGATCGCCTTAATGCAAAGTCCGTTAAAGATAGAAATCCATTACGACGCGGAATTTCATTTCAGTCTTTTCAAGTACAAAATTTTATTGATGAATCATTAGGATGGATTAATACGTGGGAATATGCAGATAATCAGCGTGATTTACCACCGTGCTTTTCAGGATTAGACTTATCATTAAATTCAATTACGTTACTTTCACGAGATGTTCTTCATGGTGGTCAATCCTATTTATTAACGTCACGCCTCAATCAAGACTGTTTAGAGAATTTATTCGGGACTTGACGTCATCGTTCGGGCAATAACACAAATCCATCTTCAATGCAATTTCGGCATAACTTACAATGTAGCATGATTGCTGGATTAATGTCAGCCCTTAAAAGTTCTAACTGCATTGATGATGAAGGTAGAGATTTGAATATATTTTCTAAAAATTTTGTCGTAGATGAGATCAATCATGGAAAAATCCACGAAATAGATAAAGATAAAGATTACCAAATTGACAGCGATAGAGACGATGAAACTGATATTGATACGGACGATGGGAAAATGATAGAAGCTTTCTTCGAAAATGAGAACGATGATAGTGAAGGTCAGATAATAGAACTTTCAATACCAAACTTAGAAATTTGCGCGGTTAATTACGTTGCGGGTTATTTACTGAATCGGCTATCCAGAAAATTTGAATGCGAACAGTGCAATAAAATTTTAGTTAAAAGTAATGACAAATTGACGAATAACACAGAATTGTTAATTTTTTGGAAAGCATATGATACATTAGATGGTTAAAATTTCGGGCATTTAGTTGTACCTTCTGATAGGTTTCATAAAATCATTCGGAAAGCATACAATATATTTACGATCGAATTTCCCAAAATAATTCATTTAGAGAACATCGCGAATATTCTTGAGCAAAAAATTTGTTTTAGAATCGAAGAAATTGTTGGTAAGAACCGTGTGAAGAACATCGCGATTTCATAGTTCATTTATTCGTTCGAACATTTATATTTCAAAATTTAAAGTGGATGAATCTAAAAGAAGAATCAAATTTAAAAAAACGAAAAAATGGGAAAAATAGAACCAATAACCAGCCAAATTCAAAGATAAATTGTCATAAATAAGAAAAATTAGTATAATAATTATAAGTAGTTGATATGTACTAATTATAAGTATAAAAAAAAACCAAAAAAAAAATTAGATTTAATTTACATATAATATTAGTGTAATGCAGCTCATGTGATTTGTGATGAAGATCTTTCATATTATGGATAATAGCATCAACAACACATGGGCCGTATTTAATGTTAACTTTTAATTAAGATAAGTAATTGATAGGATATCCCATTTTTCTTCATTCCGTAACCTTTCGATCCCTACCTTAAATAGCTATCCCCCCTGGTGAATGATGTCTATCACCTTCTCGCGGTATTCACTGAGTAGCATCAGATAAAAAAATTCGAACAGTTCAAAAAGTAATATACAAGAAATATTGCAATAAAATGTAAGACATGTCATTACAAACTTTTTATCTGGTGCTAGCTAAGTATAGACAAATCAAAGTAGAGTATTAATTTATTTAATTACATCAATGTCATGATAAAAACAATTTTTAGTACTGGTATTAAAATGACTGTTCTCAACCCTACTATTATAAATACAACAGAATAAAATAAAGGTAATTGAAAAACTTGAACATGGTACTTCATGCACTAATTATTATCGATGTTACCCCTAACAACTAATGCGATGGAACCGCGTTGAAAATTGAATATCAGAGTGAGCTTATATACTCTAAAAATATTTTTTTCAATTATTTTTAAATTCATGAATGAATTTTAAAAATTTTTAAGATACTTAGAAGTATCAAAATTCGCAAAAAATTAAAAAATAAGTTGTGACTGGGTGCCGTAGAACTTGGAAAATATTTTCGAAGCATACACGCACGCTCCGAGATTTATTTTCTATTCCAAGTTCCGTGGCACCCAGTCTTGCAGATCTACTTATAAATGAATTTTTTAAATTTTTTAGATACTCAGAAGTACTGTTTTCACGATACAATGAAATATAATGTAATGATTGTTCATTTAGTATTAAAAAGTAATTATTACGTAATTACGAGATTGTGCAAAAACTTCAAGAATCTTATAAATTAAGATATAAGTAAATCTGCATCTTCCAATACCTAACAATGCTTTAATTGTACTGAATTTTGACATTTTTGTGTCTCAAGACTGGGTGCCACGAAACTTAAAAAAAAAATGAAGCTCGGAGCGTGCGTGTATGCTTTGAAAATATTTCTCAAGTTCCGCGGATATAAAATCTACCTCAATTTTTACCGAGGTGAAAATAAGATTGTTTGTGCGAAGAAGCCTCTTCTACTTTCATTCCTATCTTTATAACAATTTTTATGACTGCGTATTGTTGTTTTTATTACTCGACCTTTTTTTTGCCTACAGGGGCTCTACAATCCCCTTACTTCGTTATTGTATTTTTTCTCTTACACTTTCTGAAGGAGTGTACTGTCTCAGTCGCTTTCCTGGTTTTCAATAGCGCTGCTTCTTCGTATGAGTGAAATAGAGATGTGTAGCACACATTTATAGTGTTTGGTACACTTAACTGGTGTTTATTTATTTGTGCTCACATATAGAGCGAGAATTTTTTTGCAGGAAATAAATATTAAATAATATTACATTTAAATAATTCCATTTATATAGAAAGAAAGTTTTCTACAAGTTTCGAACTGGCGGACGCTGGCTTTATAGTCAAATGTGTTCTGCTGAGCTATGGATTCCATTCAAAATTATTATTTAAGATAAATTCTAAATTACGATTTATGTTTCAGCTTATTTCGATTCAAAATGAATATTATAAATTTTTTTCAAACATTAATTTCTAATATAAATAAGTAAAGAAATAAAATTAAAAAAAAGTTTCATCTGAGATTTCAACCCGTGACCTCTGGCTTTATAGTCATGCATGTTTCCGCTGAGTTACGGATTGTACTTAAAGTGTATATCGAAAATAAATTCTAAATCATAATTTAGATTGCAGTTCTTTATGCTTGAAAACTGTACTTTATTTACTTTTTTATCCTGTCAAATATTGTTTTTTGAGATAGATAAATGAACTTTCAAATGTATTATTCAAATGAATTAAACAATTAAAAAAATAGTTAAGCGGAATCGATAGAGAATTAAATTAATATCTAAAGTTGCATTTATTCTACATATACACGTAGAATAAGTACCCCAGAGAATTTAGAAAATTTTTTATATCTTGTGCATCAGTCCATCGCATAGAATTCATAATTGTTTCTCTTGAAAAGGAGGAGGGCGCGCTCAACTGACTCCGCCTTCCTATCAAGAGACACGTTTATTTTAGTAGTGTCTCGAGCGCCAAGTATGAATGGCGGTGACGAAGGCACTACCGTGTCTCCATTCCGCTTAGATTAGCACTTTTGAGGTTATGCTCCTTTAAATTTCTAATTTCTCTGCAATAATGACATAAACTTTATTAAAAAATCTTTGAAAACCCCATTAATTAGCTACGACAATAAATTGCAATTGCTATTGTGTGCTGAAAATCATTCATTTGCAAAAATAAAAAATTAATAAAACGTAATGAAGTTTTGAGGAGTGTATCAATAGGAGGGGGAGGGGATATACCGTGTACCTATTACTTAAATAAAACAACCATCTTTCAATAAATATTCTTTTAGCGCTGGTGAGCGTGTTGAATGCTCCTTTCTGTCAAACGTACTTATATATAAATCAAGTAAGTACGGTAGTTGATAGTAGCGGTAAATTAATCATAAATTTTCAGACGAAGATATTTTATTTATCTGTCAATAGTTGTGACTGTACAGAGATATTAAAAAAATCGGTGTGATTGATTTTCTGAATACTTTTTAATAAAATTCAATTTACAGGTCATCGAAACAAGAACACAAAATTTACTAAAAGATGAAAAAAGAGGGTTCGACAAATTATTAAAAATATTAGGAGAAAATTAAAAAGATTTAAAATCATGTTTTCATGTTTTTTTGAATTCTTCATAATTTTGAGGTACAGATAAATTAAAATATATACTTTTTTTGGTAAATAAATAAAAAAATATAAAAAAAATAATCAATGAATATTCTACTAATCATAATGAATATACTTTATATCCAATAAATACATGTACTAGAGGATCATTGAATAAATAAACACAATGAACGGTTGAAACTGTTTCTACTCTACCAACATTGTAAATTTACTGCTAGCACATTTCGAAAGGGGCACAAATGTTATATGACCAAAATGTTCAGGACAGTATAGTTCTGGTATAAATGTCGCTCCAGTACAATAGTATAAGACATTAAAGACGCAACAGTAAAAATTGTGTTAAAATTATTAATAATTTTTTTCAAAATTACTTTTTATTTGAATTGAGTTTTTGGGAAAATTCTAAATATAGATTTACAGAAGAATTCAAATAGTTATTCTGTTGACTTTTGATTCACTCTCATCTGAATACAGCATGAATCTTCTGTCTACTTACGACTTCATTCTGAACGGTCAATTTCCCCCTAAAGAAAACCAAAGTGTACAAAGTCTAGAGATTGTTATTTATTTTATAATGTTTAACGAAAAATTAAGTGACTCATAAATGATAAGTAAAGTAGCTAATCCATTTTTTACATTTAATCACAATAATTGAAAATTGAACATAATATTTCTTTTCTTTTATTTGTAGGAAATTCTCATGAAAAAAGTTGATGGTGGGAATGCAATAGAAGAGAAATTGTATCCTACTAAATTGAAGAAAAAGAGAGGAGGAAAAATTTAAAGAATAGAACTAAAATTTATGTGTTCATATGAATTATTGCACTAATTCTTTTACTTACATCTCCTCACTTATTACTTTTTATATTTTATAAGTTAAAATCAGAAAAGGCGCAAAAATCTAACATGCCAAAAAATTTAAGGTGCCGCTTCTAATTCTGAACCTGCGTGGATGTTATGCGCGACGATCGATCGTACATTCCGCGCTGTCATTATGCCGTGTTGGTATTATGCCGACCGAGTTTTTCGGTATCGAAAACGACAAATATTTATGTACATTTTAAGTTGATAGGTAATACATAGAATGTATTACCGATGGTTTTACGTTTTAAAAAAAATCATTTTACGTTTTTGGAAAACTAATTCATGTCCTTCAATCAATAATTTTGTTTATATCTCAAGATCAGTAAGAGATAACAATTTTTTTTATTGAGTTGATAATTAAATACTGCCAGACTAAAGACTATTATACAGTACCGGACATAAATGCTGTGTGATTTTCTTTAGGACGGTATAGGGAAATCGCTTGAATAACCCTTAAAAAATTGAACAGCATCTATGTCCGGTACTGTACTATCTATATACAGATAGTGATGTCTGTTCTGAAATTCCATGTCGTAGTAACGGAGTCGAATGATGCACATTCCGTTTGTTGTACAAAAAATCGTGAAATCACACCAAAAATAGCCCTAACGGACTTCACAAAAATACACGCCAAGTATGAATAACGAAGACGATAATCATCGTTCATCAAGTGCGATCTCTATAAAACTTCTTTATGTGAACAACTACAAAAATGCATGAAATCATTGCAGCGAAGTATTTGAACATAAAGATTAATTATATTTAATGAAATAAAATAGAAATGTTATTTAATTTTCGTTAAATTATTATTTAATTTTCTACATAAATCAAAGACAAACTCTTTCTAATGAGATGAAAAAAAAATTCAATACATGAAGGAAGTTGACAGCCTTATTACGTTTTAAAATTTGATAAATAGAAAAAAAAATTGAATTAAAAACAAAATTTCTCTTTTTTTATAAAAATTTATTTAAACACAATTAACGGCTATTACAGCTGTAAATAAAACGATAATTAAGTAGATGGTTCATATAATTGATAGCCACGTCGAGTTAATTGTGTAATATGATATGAACCATCATTTCATTAGAACCATCTATGTATGTATAATTTTAATTGATTATCAACAATTACTTCTAGATACTTAGTCTTATTGACTTCTGAAATTTGACTGTCATTAAACATAATTTTACATATAATGTCAGACCTAGCTTTTCTTTTATCACAAATTAACATGAATACAGTTTTTTTATATTGATAATTAACGAGTTAGGCATTATCCAATTTCCTAACGCAACAAGACTATTATTTAGTTTTGTTTCAATATTACCAGTATACCTATTGCTATTCTAAATTATCAGATCATCGGCAAGCAGTCTGCACTTACAACGAAGAGTTCTAAGTGCATCTTCAACATCATTTATATACAAAATAAATGACAAAGGTTCTAACTTGGACCCTTGAGGTAATACACGATGTAATACACTCCGTTTATCTGTTACCGTATAATTAATTTTAGTCTGTTAACTTCTATCCTCTAGATATGAACTAAACCATTTCAATATATTGCCTCTTACACCATAATTGAACAGTTTTTCAAGCAACAGCTTCCTATCAATCGTCTCAAAAGCTCTTTTAAAGTCAATAAAAACAACTCCAATCATATCACCATTATAAAAATTTATTTAAACACGATTAACTTGGCGTGGCTCTTACAGCTGTAAATAAAACGATAATTGATTAGATGGTTCATATAATCGATAGCCACAATTAACTTGGCGTGGCTATCGATTATAGAGATCGCACTTGATGACCGATGATTATCGTCTTCGTTATTCATACTTGGCGTGTATTTTTGTGAAGTCCGTTAGGGCTATTTTTGGTGTTATATGTATATACGAGTGCAATTTTTATATGTTACTAAAATTTTAATATTTATAAGTTATAAATAATTATTTCAAAGTTACTCGGAATAAAATTGTTTAAAATGGCGGAAGTGTCTAAAAAACATGAAATAAATATTCGTTTCTCTTACATATAAAATTTCGTAGCATTATTTTTTTTGAACATTGTCAATCTTAAATCTGAACACTTTATTTTTTTTAATTATCATGTCGATTATATATATATATATATATATATATATATATATATATATATATATATATATATATACGAATTGTAAATGATCATAATGGCTCCATGTTTTTGAATCCAGATGCCTGTCAAGAAGAAAACTCTATCCCTACAAGAACGATTAGAAATTTTGGAGAAAATAAAGAATCGAGAAAATCTACCAGATTTAGCGGATAAATACGGCGTACATATTTCAACCATTTCTCGCTTAAAAACTAGTGAGCAACTAATTCTATACCGTGAAAGAGTATTGAAATCATGTGATGGCAATTTATGTAAAAAACGTTTCAAAAGTAAAGGGAAATTTTTTTGGAAAAAAGTCTTTATCAATGGTTTACGCAAAGGCGAGCTTGTAGTTTACCTATTACAAATTTTATGCTTCAAGTAAAAGCAAAACATTTTAACGAATTATTGAATGGATCGGATAATTTAAAATTCAGTACTGGTTGGGTAGATAAATTTAAGAAACGCCACGGAATCAGGTGTATAAGCATGCACGGTGAAAAGTTATCAGCAGATACAACTGCTGCTGAAGTTTTCAAAAAGAATTTACAGAGTATCACAAGTATTTCTGGATTACCTTTGGATAAAATATACAACTGTGATGAGACCGGCTTATTTTTGAAGATAATGCCCAAGCGGACCCTAGCTAGCAAAAGCGAAAAAAGTGCATCCAACAGAAAACTAGCTAAAACGCGTTCAACAATCATGATGTGTTCAAATGCTTCAGGCACCCATAAACTACCGCTGTTTGTAATCGGCAAGTCTAAAAGTCCTCGTTGTTTTAAAAATATAAAAGAATTACCTGTAATATATAAAGATCAAGCAAAGGCATGGATGAATCAGGATTTAATGCGGGAATGGTTTATCGATCTATTTTTACCACAAGTTAAAGAGACTCATAATATTGATACTAATAGTACAAAAAAAGTGATGCTGATTATGGACAATGCAAGCTGCCATTTATCTGAAGAAGTGTTTAATTCATTGTCTGTGTATTTTGAGAACCGAAAATTATTTATTTAGTTAATTTTATGTGATTATTTAAAGCTAAAAGATCGATAGCGATTGAGCTATGCCGTAGGATGTGGTCAGGAGAGGTGCACACACACAAAAGACACTTTTATTGAGCTTAATTATCAGGTTTATTATAGAAATAAAGTATTTTTCACGTTAACAATGACTTATTAACAATGTAAGAGCTCAACTGAACTTTATTGAGACTGAGCAGAATTTATCAAGAGCTTGAAACAATTAGGTTTTGCGAGATTAGAAAGAACGATAATCGAGCACGTGTACTTGAGCGTTAATGGCTGCAAACACGTTGTAGCCGGCGTCGGGAGACCTTGCACAATGATAGAGCAACTGTCATTGGCTAGATTGGAGAAGAAGAGCTAGGATTCGCCGAGCGTTAAAACGAGAGCTAGGATAGGGCTAGTGGATCGGGTGAGCTCGACTGAGCACGAGCTGGGACGAGAGCGAGTCCAACTGACAGGTTGCGATTAACCTCTCGCAATAGTCTGATTTTTGTACTGCCGTTTTTCTTCCACCAAATGTCACAGCACTTATTCAACCATTGGACAAAGGAATAATTGAAAAATTTTAAAAATGCTATAAAAAATTATTTTTAAATATATTTTTACAAGAACGTACAAATGAGGAAGTTGATGATATGCTCAAATCATTTGATTTACGACAGTGTATATCTTTCTGTGAATCAGCCTGGAATCAATTGACAAGTAGGGGCATCAGAAATTGTTGGAAGAAGCTGATACCACTAGAAAATAATGCTGTTTCATCTGATGTTGAATGTATTGATCTCAATATCTTCCACAATTTGATTTCAAATACTCCTGGTTTTGCCGGTGTATCTCTGGAAGATGTAAATGAATGGATTGATGCAGACAATGAAGAAGTTGAATGGGCTGTACTCAGTGATAAAGAAATTGTTAAAGATGTATTAATTAACAATTCTGAAAATGTAGATAGTGATACTACTCAAGAAAGAGACCATACAGAGAACTTTTCTGATGAAGATGACTCCCTAAAAATATCGATTCAAGATGCATATAAAGCAACAAATATTCTTTTAAATTATTATCCAAATGATGATAGCCAACTATCACAACATTTACTACCAGTATTGCAAGTGTGCTATGAAGATTTGACACAGAAAAGTCTTTCTGTTCAACTATAAGTGATGAGATGACTGATTGGTAAATAAGTTTCTATCACCAAAACTTCTGATAGTTGATAGTTATTGAAAATCAAAAATTCTTTTATTTTATATTAAAGTTTTCATGATTACATATTACATATTAATGTTAAAAGAGTTGAAAGTCAAGTCTCGTATTAATCGCTCAGTTGTTATTATTTTTTAAGAGAAAAAGTACAAAAGGTGATAGAAAATTTTTACTCGAATTCAGTTTTTCAATTTTATGGGTACTACTGAAAATAGTAAGAATGAAAAATTGTTAAGTCACAATAAAAACTATAACATGTTTAAAATTCATTGTGGCTTTCACAAAAATAGAGGTATATGAGAAATTAATAACAAAAGTGTTATTGAAGATAAGTTTCTATCACTAAGACTGCTACTAGTCTATACTAAAATTTTAAGATGTTCATAATAAAATATTTATCGTTAAAAAAATGCAAAGTTAATTCTAGTTTTAATCGTTCAATGTTTATTATTATTTTAAAAAAACTGAAATCATAAGTTTCAGAAGAGTTTATGAAAAAATGTGTTATTAAAAATAATAATAATATTAATTGTAAGAAGATTAGTTATGATATTGTTTATATGATGTGCAAAAAAACTAGTTCTGAATAAATTATATTACTTTACTCTCTAATTGGTATTTTTTTTGAGTTTATGTAATAATATTTATTTATTTTCGGAATGTATTTCGCTTACTACATATCATTTCAAAATGATATTTGAAAATTCGCGCGACAGAAACTAATTCTCATTCGTCAGTTGAAAAATAGTAGTGGGAGTTGGGGAATTTGCATTTAGGGAAGTGACCTTGGTGCACTTAGAGAGACTTTGCTCTTAGAGAAGTTGCATTTAGAGAAGTTCGACTGTAGTTCTTTCGCTCCGGGCCGTATCAAAAAATGAGTACAGGCCCTCTAAAATATAATTTCTTTTTTTTACCAAGTATTCCAATAAATAGCTGTAAATTTAGTAAATTATTCTGAAGACTTTCTTGAATGATAATAAAAAAATTAAAACATTAATATTGTTGTGTTTATGAATCTTTTTTTATTGGAGGGTTCCGGATTAAATTTTATATCTTCCTGATACAATACATGATACCGCGCCATGTACATACATGCACGCACTACTGAACATAAGTTAATAGTGAAATCGTGACAACGTTGTATTTTATACTTCAAGCTGAATATAGTATTAGTTATTACGTTACTTGTGAACTGTTGGGAAGAAAGCATTATCAGAGTATTATCTGAAAAGAATATGCGAAAGAAACTAATGATTACTAAAGATAAAAGAGTTTTAGCTAAAATAATTCGTTGTTTGAGAAGTTAATTATAATATTATTTAGGAGTTTGTTATGAAAAGTATTTTTGAACAATATTGATAAGAAACCGATGGTTACCAAAGGTAAAATACTCTTAATTAAAGTCATATGTTGTTTAAGAAATTAATAGTGATATTGTTTAAAAATTTATTCTAAAATATATTTTTTAATAATGAAGAAAAATATCTAATAGTTACTAAAGATAAAAGAGTTCTAACTTAAATTATATGTTGTTTAAAAAGTTAATTTAAGTAGTATCTAAATGCTGTTATTGAAAGTATTTTTTTTATAACATGAAAATGTTATTCTCTACTTTTTTGTACCAACGAAAATTTTTTTCACTAGTAATAAATAAAAATTTTTACTCGAATTCAGTTTTTCAATTTTATGGGTACTACTGAAAATAGTAAGAATAAAAAATTGTTAAGTCACAATAAAAACTATAACATGTTTAAAATTCATTGAAGTATTTCATTCAAAAAAGTAGAGAATAACATTTTCATGTTATAAAAAAAATACTTTCAATAACAGCATTTAGATACTACTTAAATTAACTTTTTAAACAACATATAATTTAAGTTAGAACTCTTTTATCTTTAGTAACTATTAGATATTTTTCTTCATTATTAAAAAATATATTTTAGAATAAATTTTTAAACAATATCACTATTAATTTCTTAAACAACATATGACTTTAATTAAGAGTATTTTACCTTTGGTAACCATCGGTTTCTTATCAATATTGTTCAAAAATACTTTTCATAACAAACTCCTAAATAATATTATAATTAACTTCTCAAACAACGAATTATTTTAGCTAAAACTCTTTTATCTTTAGTAATCATTAGTTTCTTTCGCATATTCTTTTCAGATAATACTCTGATAATGCTTTCTTCCCAACAGTTCACAAGTAACGTAATAACTAATACTATATTCAGCTTGAAGTATAAAATACAACGTTGTCACGATTTCACTATTAACTTATGTTCAGTAGTGCGTGCATGTATGTACATGGCGCGGTATCATGTATTGTATCAGGAAGATATAAAATTTAATCCGGAACCCTCCAATAAAAAAAGATTCATAAACACAACAATATTAATGTTTTAATTTTTTTATTATCATTCAAGAAAGTCTTCAGAATAATTTACTAAATTTACAGCTATTTATTGGAATACTTGGTAAAAAAAAGAAATTATATTTTAGAGGGCCTGTACTCATTTTTTGATACGGCCCGGAGCGAAAGAACTACAGTCGAACTTCTCTAAATGCAACTTCTCTAAGAGCAAAGTCTCTCTAAGTGCACCAAGGTCACTTCCCTAAATGCAAATTCCCCAACTCCCACTACTATTTTTCAACTGACGAATGAGAATTAGTTTCTGTCGCGCGAATTTTCAAATATCATTTTGAAATGATATGTAGTAAGCGAAATACATTCCGAAAATAAATAAATATTATTACATAAACTCAAAAAAAATACCAATTAGAGAGTAAAGTAATATAATTTATTCAGAACTAGTTTTTTTGCACATCATATAAACAATATCATAACTAATCTTCTTACAATTAATATTATTATTATTTTTAATAACACATTTTTTCATAAACTCTTCTGAAACTTATGATTTCAGTTTTTTTAAAATAATAATAAACATTGAACGATTAAAACTAGAATTAACTTTGCATTTTTTTAACGATAAATATTTTATTATGAACATCTTAAAATTTTAGTATAGACTAGTAGCAGTCTTAGTGATAGAAACTTATCTTCAATAACACTTTTGTTATTAATTTCTCATATACCTCTATTTTTGTGAAAGCCACAATGAATTTTAAACATGTTATAGTTTTTATTGTGACTTAACAATTTTTCATTCTTACTATTTTCAGTAGTACCCATAAAATTGAAAAACTGAATTCGAGTAAAAATTTTCTATCACCTTTTGTACTTTTTCTCTTAAAAAATAATAACAACTGAGCGATTAATACGAGACTTGACTTTCAACTCTTTTAACATTAATATGTAATATGTAATCATGAAAACTTTAATATAAAATAAAAGAATTTTTGATTTTCAATAACTATCAACTATCAGAAGTTTTGGTGATAGAAACTTATTTACCAATCAGTCATCTCATCACTTATAGTTGAACAGAAAGACTTTTCTGTGTCAAATCTTCATAGCACACTTGCAATACTGGTAGTAAATGTTGTGATAGTTGGCTATCATCATTTGGATAATAATTTAAAAGAATATTTGTTGCTTTATATGCATCTTGAATCGATATTTTTAGGGAGTCATCTTCATCAGAAAAGTTCTCTGTATGGTCTCTTTCTTGAGTAGTATCACTATCTACATTTTCAGAATTGTTAATTAATACATCTTTAACAATTTCTTTATCACTGAGTACAGCCCATTCAACTTCTTCATTGTCTGCATCAATCCATTCATTTACATCTTCCAGAGATACACCGGCAAAACCAGGAGTATTTGAAATCAAATTGTGGAAGATATTGAGATCAATACATTCAACATCAGATGAAACAGCATTATTTTCTAGTGGTATCAGCTTCTTCCAACAATTTCTGATGCCCCTACTTGTCAATTGATTCCAGGCTGATTCACAGAAAGATATACACTGTCGTAAATCAAATGATTTGAGCATATCATCAACTTCCTCATTTGTACGTTCTTGTAAAAATATATTTAAAAATAATTTTTTATAGCATTTTTAAAATTTTTCAATTATTCCTTTGTCCAATGGTTGAATAAGTGCTGTTTGTTTTTTTCTACTCTTAGCATTACTCAGAGACAACGGCGTGGACGTGGTAGAACTTTGTCTCTTTTGGGGTGCTTTTTTTTCGTGAGTCCCCTTGCCTCTCACGTTTCGGGGTGCTTTTTTTCGTGAGTCCCCTTGCCTCTCACTTTAACATTTCTTTCATTAGTGCTTCTTTGTCTAACAATTATTGCATACATATAGATTGCATTTTTCACAATAGATCCTTGTTCTTATTGGACATTTTTCAGTTGAACAATTTTTTAATTTGTCCCTATTAGATCGTGTATGAACTGTTTTACTTGTTTGACTTTTTTGAATATAATATTTAGCAATCGAAATAGTTAACTCTTTTATTCCAACTTTTTTCTTTCCATCGCGTGTAGCATTGAAAATTACGAGGGAATTTGTAATGGACGCCTGTATAAATCTTATAAAAACGACCCATGTCCATTTTTTGGAACGTATACTTGGAAGTACATTATTGCAGTGTCCATCATGCACGTCAACACCGCTCATAAATTTGTTGTACAAATGAAAAGCTTGCGGAAAAGCTAAATCAGATTTGGATCGAGCCTCTGAACTATATCTTCTCGAAGTTGATAGTGGACTTACACCTGCAGCAGTTGAAGCTATTGAAACGGTCTTCGAATCCATAATAGTGATGAAATTTATGCCACTATTTTGATCATGTTTTACAATATAAGTACCTCGTGGAGCTTTCTTTTCAAGTATATTCTTTTCCTTGACTCGCTTGTCTCTTATAGTGCCAGTGCATTTCAAACGTAATTTTTGCAAGTGTGAAATCAAATCCATATTTGTAAAAAAATTATCAAAGTACAAATGAAATGCAGGGATTTTATTATAATTTATTAGCC